CCAGCCCGGCTCCGAGGCGTGCGGGCGGGCGCGTCCCAGGACCCTTGGAGACACGGCGAGCGGGGCCTCCTGTCGCCCTGCCCCATCCTACTGAGCGGGGGAAACTGAGGCTGGGGGTGGGGGGCAGGTCTGCAAAGCTGACGGGCCAAGGGGGAGAGCTGCTTGCCCAGGCTGGGCATCTGAAGAGACAATGACACTAGGGACTTGCCCCAAGTGTCCTTCTCATCACACCGTACACACACGTTCATCACACCCTACACACACACACACGTTCCCCCACCACACACACACACACACACACACACACACACACACACCAGATCCTGCCTCTCTGCACCTTCCCTCCACCACACACATTCTTGAAATGTCTCTCCCTGGACTCCCCGCCTCCCCTCGTCCAAGACAGTCCCTGTCCCCATTGTGCACGGTGCTAAGTAGAGAAGCAAGGAGTTGCTGAAAGATGATCAGACCGAAACCTAGTCCCAGCCCTAGCCCAGCCTGGACAGGAACCTTCCCCATCCACTGAAAGGAAGGTGGCCTGCCACCTTCCAGGACAGGAGCTTTGGGTATGGGATGTGGGACCTTTGTCCTTGCTAACTGCTGCTATCTAGCCCCCACCCACCGGAAGGGTGTCCCTTGACCTCCTTAGAAGCAGGGGTCCTGGGGCTCTGAGCTGACTCATGGCTTGCACTGTTGTTCAGTATTTTAGAAGCCAAGCCGTCTGCTCTGTCTCATTGTCATGGGGCAGGGGACCCGAGCCCCAGGGAAGATGGCCCTATGTCTCTGCTTCAGCTTGAGCTGGAATTTACCCAGGAGAGTGGCAGTTGGGGAACTGGGGGGGGAGGGGGGGCGGGCAGGCCTCAGCCGTAACTGGAGGTGCCAGTTACAAGGGAGAGTGACTAGATAAAGTGACAGGGAGAGGTGGTAAGAGTGGCACTCCAGTGAGGGGGAAGGATAGAAGGAGAGGGTTCCGTTGGCCCAGTCAGCCAGGCACCTGTCCTCTGCGGTGGCCCCTGTCTCCAGCCACATCTCCATCCCTGTCTCTGAAATGAGCCCTCAGGTCAAGCTCCCTCCTGGGGAGTCTCTGTCCAGCCTCTCCCCTTTCTGCCTCAGATCCTTTGTCGTTTTCTCACACTCCACTCCCACCTCATACCTTTAGTCTGCTTCTTTATGCTCCACTTTCTCTCATTTCTCAGCTCAACTTCCTCCTCTCTCCTCCAGCTGTCTGCCCGTCCCTTCCCCTCTCTCTCTCATGCCTGTGCTCTGGGCTTCTCCCCCTCTCCTTGATCTCTATCTCTCCCCCTCTCACTGTCTCTATCTTCCCCTCCCTTTCCCCTCCCCACCCCAGCCCCAACAGGAGCCCTTTGTGTCCCGAAGGCTCTGCGGGGTGGCAGCCGGAATCTGCTCCTCCCCACCCCCCCAATACACGCCCAGCTTGGCAGGTCTAGCCAAGGCTCAGCGACACGGGAGGTGCCTCTCCCTTCCAGTCACCCCCCTGTATGCAGCCATGACCCAGTCATCAGCAGCTCTGATGTCCCACAAGCAGCCTGCTGGGCTCAGGGCAGCTGTAGAATGGGGCTGAGGCCACCGCACTCCCACTCCCACACACATACCCACACAGGTTCTCTCCACTGGGCTGGCTGGCTAGGAGTGGGGAAGGGGACAAGGGGATTAAGGGGGGTGGCACGGTACAACAGAGGCAATCGCAGGCCCCAGGCCCAGCAAGGCCCTGATAAGGATTAGGGCCCTGCTCCGAGGCTCCAGTCTGAGCTGCCTGCCCCCAGCTCACCCCCAGGCCCCTCGTGTTGTCCTGTTGTCCGTAAGCCCTTAACCAACCCCTTGTTCTCTGACCTTCCCTCCTCCCACTTGCAGACTCCAGGCCTTGGGTTATTCAGTCTTTTCCTCCCCCAAGGCCTGGGAGGAGAGAGCTGAGTATTCTGCCACCCCCAGAGCTGTGTACCTTGGCCGTCCCCATCACTCTGGCCGGGACAGCACCCACAGTCCACTGTGTGCATTGTTCCCACGCCCCAAGCCGGAGTGTGAACTGGGGGCTCAGAAGGGTTCTGCAATACGAGGGCAGGGAAAGGGGAGATGAGGCCCCAGGACATCTCCCTGCTCAGCCCACATTGGCTAATGCCTGTCCGCCCCGCTGCTCCAGATGTATGGCCGATACACCCAGGACCTTGGGGCCTTTGCCAAAGAGGAAGCCGCTCGGATCCGTTTGGGAGGGCCCGATCCCTGGAGGGGCCCCCCATCCCCTCGGACTCCCCCAGAGCTCCTGGAATATGGACAGAGCCGTTGCGCCCCCTGCCGCAGTGAGAGCCCCCCCCCAAGCCCCCAGTCGGGGAGGGAGACCAGGATGTACTATACGGTTCTGAGGGAAATGGGGGGATGAAAAGATAATGGAATTTCCCTCCGACTCTTTAAAGCCCCTCTCGCAGATGCCCACGGGGACCCACGGGCAGGGTGGGTAGACTGGAGGGCAGGGGTGCGACTTCTTGGTGCCAACCTCCCATTCCCATCCGCTCCCCGCCCCCCTTCTCCCATCCCAGTTTGTTCCATCCGCTGCCACAAGTTCCTGGCGTCCAGGGTCGGTGAGGACTGGATCTTCCTGGTCCTGCTGGGGCTCCTTATGGCACTGGTCAGCTGGGTCATGGACTATGCCATTGCTGCGTGTCTGCAGGGTGAGGACACCAATGGCAGGGGCCGCTGAAAAAGCCATACTGCCTCCATGCCACACATGTCAGGCATCTTGGCCACTTGGCTGTTGACCACTTCCCCCAGCCAGCCTGGCCACCCCTTCTTTGGACATAATCACTGCCAGCCCCACAGGCCGCCACTTGCCTTCCCTCTCCCACTGGCCCTCCAGCCTAGAGTGGTCTTTGCCTCAGTGGGTGCCCCCGCCCCACACCCTGTGCCCGGGCTCTATGGGACACTGCCTGGGACTACCGGTCCTATGTCCCAGTTGCCAAGAGAGCAGCAGCGTGCCTTGGTCCCCACAGCTCAGCAGTGGATGTCCCGAGGGCTGCACACGAACGTCCTGCTGCAGTACCTGGCCTGGGTCACCTACCCCGTCGTCCTCATCACTTTCTCGGCAGGATTTACACAGATCCTGGCTCCTCAGGCCGTCGGTACAATAGGAGAGGCAGACGTGGAAGGCAGGGGGGGGGCCCTCTTGAAAGGAGTGCCTCAGGTGACACCCCTTTCCCCCCACCCCACCCCCACCGGGGGGAACATGCCCCTCCAGGATCCGGCATCCCAGAGATGAAGACCATCTTGCGGGGAGTGGTGCTGAAGGAATACCTCACTCTCAAGACCTTTGTAGCTAAGGTCATCGGGCTGACCTGTGCCCTGGGCAGCGGCATGCCACTTGGCAAAGAGGTGACTGCAGGCCGGTGGGGGGGGGGGTGCTGGGGGAAGCCCTCCAAAGTCGGGGGGGCCCCCACTCCACAGACCCTCTCTGCCCCCTCCCCACCCAGGGCCCCTTTGTGCATATCGCCAGCATGTGTGCCGCCCTGCTAAGCAAGTTCCTCTCCCTCTTCGGGGGCATCTATGAGGTGAGGGGGCCCTCCCCGGGAGGAAGGAGGGGTATGATGCGGAGCCCACAGCCGACTGCCCCTCCTCCCACTGCTGTCCTCAGAATGAATCCCGGAACACAGAGATGCTGGCTGCTGCCTGTGCTGTGGGAGTGGGCTGTTGCTTTGCGGCGCCCATCGGAGGTAGGGGGGACCCCTGGCAGCCAGGCCTGTGCTCAGCGCTGCCCTCGGCCCCTCCTCCTTGGCCTTTGACTTGCGCTAGGAGGCCTTAGCCGGGGCTTCCAGCAGTCCGTCCACGGCCCCTTGCAGGTGTGCTCTTCAGCATCGAGGTCACCTCCACTTTCTTTGCTGTACGCAACTACTGGCGGGGCTTCTTCGCTGCCACCTTCAGCGCCTTCATCTTCCGGGTCCTGGCTGTCTGGAACCGTGATGAAGGTGTGGGTGATGGGGAGCCCCCACCACCACCACAGGGGGCTCGGGCGGTGACGGGGTAGCTTGGCCTGACTCTGCTACTCTGGCCTTCTGTGCAGAGACCATCACTGCCCTCTTCAAAACTCGCTTCCGCCTGGACTTCCCCTTTGACCTGCAGGAGCTGCCTGCCTTTGCTGTGATTGGGTGAGGCGCTGGGGGGCTGTTGGGAAGGAGAGAGGCCTCCCGCAGTAGACCTCAGTCACTACCTCCCTCCGGCCTCTCCCCTCTAGTATTGCTAGTGGCTTCGGGGGCGCCCTCTTTGTCTACCTGAACCGGAAGATTGTCCAGGTGATGCGCAAACAGAAAACCATCAATCGCTTCCTCATGAAGAAGTGAGTCCGCGCACAGGTCCTCCCTGGGCTGCTTTCGGATGGTGCGCAAGTCTGGGGGCGTGGGGGGACGGTCACAGGTCAGTGGCAAACCGTTGAGAGCCACAGTGTTTCCCAGACCGACTGGGCATTTTGGAGTTTACATGAATTACCTAGAAATGGGCCTTTCTGAATTTTCAGTCCATGGCAGAGGGCGTTTGGGTCAAAGAGGCTGAGGTTTCCAAAGGCCCTGCTCTCTGGAGTGTGGGCACCTTTGTTTCCCCTACCCCCCACCAGCGTGGGCATGGGCTCCATTTCAACCCCAGAGCCTCTTTCTGCCTTGCCAGCTTTGCACAGCCCTCTTGGTTGTGACCCTGAGGCCTGGGAGCGGGGAGCCTCTCCTTAGGATGGATGTCCTTCATCCGTCTGCTCCTTACCCCACCTTTGATCAACTGCTATCAGTGACCCCAGCTTGCCGCCACACTGCCCTTCACGCTAAGTCACTGCAGAGAAACCTACAGAGCCAGAACTTCTCCACACCCTCCCGCACTGTGCCCTTCAGAAGAGGGGAATGAATGGGGTCATAGCTCAGAGCTGTCCACGACCCAGCAGGGAGGTGGACTAGGGGAGGCCACTGCCCAGTGGTGGTGTCAGGCGCTGACAGAAAGGCCCTTGGGTCACACTGTCAACTCCTGGAATGGCCCCTGCCCACGGGCACCCATGCCCTCATGAGCAACAAAGGGGCTTCTGGTAGCCCCGTATGCCTTTATGTAAGAACAAAGGCTCTGAGGACAACCCAGACTGTCCCCATCCCTGTGGCGCATGCCACCCACGTGTGCTGCCTCGAACCCTACCTGTCTAGACGCCTGCTCTTCCCGGCTCTGGTGACCCTGATTATCTCCACGCTGACCTTCCCTCCTGGCTTTGGGCAGTTCATGGCCGGACAGGTAACCCCAAGGTGGCGCTTTCCCCTGGGATGCAACCTTGCTCAACCCAACCCCAGCAGGATGGTGGGGTTCCCGCCCTTCCCGGATTCCTGGGGGCCCCCCTCTCACTCCACCTGCCCCCCACCTGAGACACGCTGCTCACCTCCAGCTCTCCCAGAAAGAGACCCTGGTGACCCTGTTTGACAACCGGACGTGGGTCCGCCAGGGCCTCGTCGAGGAGCTAGAGTCACCCAGCATGTCCCAGGCCTGGAGCCCACCACGGGCCAACGTCTTCCTGACGCTGGTCATCTTCATTCTCATGAAGGTGGGGCTCCTGTGTACACCCGGGCGGAGGGGAGGGGTGGGAAGGAGGCTTTCCAGAGGCCAAGGGCTGCCCTAGGTGCTGTCCGTAGGTTACCTCCTTCAGACCTCACCACAATGCGCCGAGAACGGTACTGCCCCCATTTTAAAGATGAGGAAATTGAGACACAAATTGGCCCAGAGTCACATGGGTAACCAGCGAGGAAGGACTCAGCCTGCTCCCTCCCCACTTCCCCATCCCTGGGGGGTAAAGGATAGCTGGGAGGTGTGAAGCAGCCCTGGCGGTGACGCATTGGGCTGCTAACCACAAGGTCGGTAGTTCAAAACCACTAGCCACCGCTCCTCAGGAGAAAGCCGAGGAGGCTTTCTACTCCGTCAAGAGTTAGTCTTGGAAACCCATGAGGGCAGTTCTACCCTGTCCTATAGAGTCATTACGAGCAAGTGAGTTTGGGGTTTGGGTTTGGGGAGGTTGGAGCCTGTCTGATAAGCAGGTTCCTGGGTGTGTGTGTGGGGTGAGGGGGACGCCCTGGGGGCTGGCAGGTACCCACGCCTATCTGACTCACCCTCTCCCTGCAGTTCTGGATGTCTGCTCTGGCCACCACCATCCCGGTGCCCTGCGGGGCCTTCATGCCTGTCTTCGTCATTGGTGAGTTCAGGTTCCCCCAGCCTGCACCCTCCTCAGCCCCTGGCCACCCTAGGGCTATCCCTCATCCACGTTTTCTCCGCTGGGGTGTGGGTTCTGGTCCAGCCCCCACCCCCCACTTCCCACAGGGATGTCCCAGCACCAAATGACCCACCGGCCCCTCCCCCACCCTCTGCCCCTTTCTCTTCCTAGTGCCCCTGCCCTCCCCCTCCACTACCTGTCTCTCTTCCCACCCCCCTCACTAAAGGAGCCGCATTTGGGCGCCTGGTGGGGGAAAGCATGGCTGCCTGGTTCCCAGATGGGATTCACACAGACAGCAGCACCTACCGGATTGTGCCCGGGGGCTATGCAGTGGTGGGTGAGTGCCCTGGTCCCCAGCTCCCTGGGAGGACCCCTTGCTGGGCTCCTGGGTCTGAGGCTCCGCGCCCCCTGCTGGTGGACACTGGCCTTCCCTCAGAGGCAGCAGCCCAATCCCCAGACCTGGAAGGGGCAGCCCTGAGCAGCCTCCCACAGGCCGGGCCCAGGGAAAGCGGGGTCCCTGGGGGCTGAGGACACTGACGAAGCTGTCTCCAGGGGCAGCTGCGCTGGCAGGAGCGGTGACCCATACGGTGTCCACGGCCGTGATTGTGTTCGAGCTCACGGGCCAGATTGCCCACATCCTGCCCGTCATGATAGCCGTTATCCTGGCCAATGCCGTCGCCCAGAGCCTGCAGCCCTCACTCTACGACAGCATCATCCGCATCAAGAAGCTGCCCTACCTGCCCGAGCTGGGCTGGGGCCGGCACCAGTATGCAGGGCAGCAGGCGGGGAGCGGGCGGGGACGCACCCCCTCACACCCGAAGCCACGAAGTCCCTGAGCCAGTAAAACCTGGTGGCCAGGCGGCCAGCTCCCTCCTGGTCTGAGCTGTCCTTGCCCACACCCTTGATGGAAAGAGGGTGGGCAGCACTCCCCGGCCCTCAGCCCTGCTCCTGTCAGCTCTGGACTTTCCCTGCCCCATGCCAACCACAAGCCCCATGCCCCTGTGCTCCAGGCAGTACAGAGTGCGAGTGGAAGACATCATGGTGCGGGATGTGCCCTACATAGCCCTCAGCTGCACATTCCGGGACCTGCGGTTGGCGCTGCACAGGACCAAAGGCCGCATGCTAGCCCTGGTGGAGTCCTCCGGTGAGGACCGGAATGGAGCCATCTCCCAGGGAGGGCACCATGCTCAGGGAGGGGGAAGGCCCAGGAGGGTGGGGGAGCCTCGCCTGCAGCTCCTGAGCACCCTCCACCCCCCCGCCTGTTCGGTCTAGAGTCCATGATTCTGCTAGGCTCCATCGAGCGCTCACAGGTGGTGGCATTGCTGGGGGCCCAGCTGAGCCCAGTCCGCCGGCGGCAATTCATGCAGGACCAGCGCAGGGCTGCACAGGCCTCTCCCCCACCTGATCCCCCTGGTCCTGAGGCTGCTGTCTGCTTCCAGGTGAGGGGAAAGCCACCCCTCTTCGACCACGTGCACACACACACACACACACACACACACACACACACATCCTGAGCACCACTGATCGGGCGCAGGCACAGAGGGTGGCGCGGCACCCCTGCCTGGCCAGCTCTTTCTGTCCGTGCAGGTGAACTCGGAGGACCCAGGCTTCCCTGCAGCCCGGGGAGAGACTAACAAGCCCCTCAAGCCTGCTCTCAAGAGGGGGTCCAGCAACACCATGAGCCCCCGGGAAAGCCCTGCAGGTGAGCCCACCCCACCCCCGCCCACCTCCCACTCCCTTGCTGGAGCTCGGCCCCACTGGAAGGGCCCGCCCTCGGGAATAGGCAGGTAGCACAGGACCCTCCTCTTGCCTCCTGGATGACATGGCCCCGGCCACCGCAGGGAACAGGGAGCCGGCTGGCATTGCTCTCAGGAACCTCTTCTGTGGGAGCCCACCTCCCGAGGTGGCTGCAGAGGTGAGTGGTGGGCCCTCTCCTTCTGCTCCATCCTCCCTACCCCCCTGCAGCACCGGTGCCGCCCCCAGCCCCAGTAACATCAACCCTTCTCTCTGCCCACTTTGGCCCCACCCACACAGTTGGAGAAGTCGGAGTCCAGTGAGAAGCGCAAGCTGAAGCGGGTCCGCATCTCCCTGGCGGTATGTGCCCGTCTCTCCCTGTTGTCCAGGGGCATTGCACAGGGATGGCGGGCAGTGGGCTCTAGGCCAGACCCAGCCACTCATGCCGGCCCCCTTCCTGTAGAGTGACTCAGACCTGGACAGCGAGATGACCCCTCAGGAGGTAAGGTGTGACTGGACTCTGGACCGTTTGCCCCCGGGTGTGTCCAGCCCTCATCGTGGCTGCTGCACCCATGGGAGGAGGGACCATGGAGGACAATGGGCAGGCCACCACCTCCCTCCCCTTTCTACTCGCTTTACCCCCAGATCCTGGAGTGGGAGGAACAGCAGCTGGATGAGCCTGTCAACTTCAGTGACTGCAAAATCGACCCCGCGCCCTTCCAGCTGGTGGAGCGGACCTCCCTGCACAAGGTAGAGCCCTGGCCTGGGCACCCGGCTGGCAGAGCGCCAGGGAGGAAGGACCGAGGTGCGGCGTGGGGACTCGGAGCTGAGCTGTTTCTCAGCGACCCTGCTTTAAGAACAGCTGCACAGACTGGAGGCTGGAGGCCGGGAGTGGGGGGCCCCTTCCTTCCCCTCTTCCTGCTCTCCAGCCGGGCCAGGCATCAGTTTTCCTCTGCTCAGCCCTGGCCCCTGGGAACTCTGGACCAAACGCAACAAAGGCTGGGCTTGAACTGGGTGGAAGCCAGAGGCAGGGCCAGGGTCAGAGCTAGGCAGGAGGCTGCCAGAGCCCAACAAGACTGAGACACCCACGCTGGAAACGGGGGTGGAGGGTGGGGGTAGGAGTGTGGGTGAGAAACAGGCCGGATAAGAAAATCTAATAAACAAGCTAACCAACTCCCAAGTCCGGGTAAGGGCACTGCAGAGAAGAGATAAACAAAGGTGAGAAACGCCCAGTGGGGCCTCGAATGTCGAACCCCAGAAAGTCTGCACTTAATGTGGGCCAGAGGAAAGCACAGAGGGACAGGAAGCCCAGCGGCAGGGCTCAGCCGCCTTTTCAGAGGGGACCACACCACACGGAGTGCGTGGAGAACGTGGGGACAGGCAGGTGGGGCGGGAGACCGATCCCCAAAAAGGGGAGAGAGCTCTGCAGAGGGCTGGCTGTGTCAGGCCTCTCTGGGTGGAGGGGGCAGGGCGGGCAGGTCTGGCAGGCCAGCAGGAGGGCTCCGGAGGTGCTGCAGTCAGAACTGGCCAGACTTCACACAGTGGCAAAGGGGACAGAGGCTGAACGCTCCCAAGGTCCACAGCTCAGCTTTCGCCCCCTGGCAGGTACAGCTCTACTAGGCAGCAGGGCACAGCAACAGGGCACACAGGGGCTGAGTCAAGGGGGATACGGGACAAAAGAGAAACAAAAGGTCAAGAGGTAAGATAGAAATGTCCTACTCGCCTTTGGAGAAAAACCTTCGACCAAAGTAGGTAGATAGGGCCTGAGAACAATGTATCCATAAGCACAAGGGCAAGGGAAGACCTGCATTGCTGCGACTGCTGACAGCGTTGTTTGTTGTTGTTTTGTTTTGTTTTTCTGAGTGCTTGCTATGTGCCGGGCCCTGCACTAAGCCCTTCCCACGTAGGCTTTACTCCTCAAAACCACTAGACACGATACTGAGTTCTTCCAACTTATACAGATGAGGACGTTGAGATCCAGAGCTGTCCAGCGGTAGAACCAGGCCTGGACAGTCTGCCTGGGGAAACTGAGGCATGCGGTTGAAGAGGTCGCTTGCCGGCATCTGTACAGCAGTTACAGGCCCAGAGCCCAGCGCTTCTGGCCCCGATCCCAGAGTTCGTTCAGAAGGCCAGGCTGTCCTCTCCCTGCCAATTCACTGTTCTCAAGCCCGAGAAACGTGAGGGCCACCAACGGACTCCCGGGTGTCTAATTAAATTAAAGCGGAGAAGAACAAAGCAGGTGTTTGTTAGAAGCTTACAAATCAGAGAGGCAGCCTTTGACAGACCGACTAACAAAAGGACCAAGAACTGGAGGCGATAAGAACACCGAAGATCAGAATTCAAAATGTCCTTCCTTGCAGGCCTGAGGGGCCCATAAGCAGTCATCCACTAAGTTCAGGAGAAGGGAGGAGAGTACATTGGAGACAATTTCCCTAATTGCCTCTGCAGCTGGAAAAGATCACCTGATGCATCTGGAGAAAGAGACGGGGGACCTAGGAATGCCAGCCTGAGGCCCACACTGGCCGGGCTAATCCCTGGCTCTGCAATGTTTGCCAGCTGTGAGACCTTGGTCAAGTCTTTGGCTGGCCTCTCTGCTTCACTTATCTGTAAAATCAAGATAATAATCATCCCTACCTCATAGGTATAGATTGGAAGCAGTAGTCAAGAGACCAAACGATGCCGCGCATTGGGTAAATCTGCTGCCCGGGACCTCTTTATAAAGTGTGGAAAAGCAGGGATGGCACTTGGAGGACTAAGGTGCGCCTGACCCAAGCCATGGTATCTTCAATGACCTCACATGCAGGTGAAGGTTAGACGCTGAAAAAGGGAGACTGAGGACTCGATGCACTTGAACCTTGGGGCTGGCAAACGCTACTGAAAGCACTGCCCAAAGAACAGGCATCTGTTTGTCTCGGAAGAAGTGCAGCTGGAATGCTCCGCAGAAGCAAGGATGGTGAGATTTCGACTCACATGCTTCAGATATGTTATCAGGAGAGACCAGACCCTGGGAAAGGACATCGTAACTTGGTAGAGGGGCAGTGAGGTAGAGGAAGACCTCCCATAAGCCGTCTCAACACAGTAACTGCCAGTGAGCCCCCACAGGACAGTGGTGAGGCTAGCACAGGGCTGGGCAGTGGGCTCACTTTGTTGATTACAGGGCCACAGGGTCAGAGCAGCTCAACAAGGACGGCTTCACGGGTGTTTGTGAGGACGGAAGGCATTGGTTCTTATGAATCCAGGTCCGTGGCATCTTATCGACTGCTACGGCGAGAGATGAACAACGAAGGATGGAAGAGGCTACCCCTGCCCTCGAGGGACTCAGTGCCACCCGGGCAGAGAGACCGCTGCACCAAGCCTGGTGCTCCATTGCAGGGTCACTGTGCATCCAGTCTGAAAGCAGAGACAAGTCCACAGTGCTGAGGACAGGGAGAGGGCGGCTCCCAGCTTGGAGGCTGGACAAGTGAGGTTGGGTTGGGTTGGGTTTTAAGACGAGGGGTCAGAAGAGTTATGGGTTGGTGGAACTTTAGAAAATGGTGCCATGGGGGAAGGGCTACAGTTGTACACTAAATGGACGTTTTCAGAAATGGATGGCTGGGTGTGTGTGTGTCGAACCTGGGGTGCATGGTGGGACCTGAGGCTGGACAGACAGGCCATTCTAGGGAGCCGGGTTAGAGAGCGAGCGAGAGGATGGCAGAGTCCAGCTGGATGAAAGGAAGACGGGAAGCAGAAGGGCCCTTAGCCAGTGTGACCCTGACTCTGGTGAGCACTGCCTTAACAGTTTGCAGCCCTTCTGCAAAGGATGGCCAAAATTGCCATCCTTTCTGACTCAGCAATGCCGTCAAACAGGAGAGTGCCGGGTAAGGTTCCCAAGGCTGTGTCTACGGATGCTGGCTGGTGGCTGGCACATGTGTTCCTGGTGGACTCTAACTGCTGCCCTTCCAATAAGCAGCCAACTGCTTAACCACTTCACCACCAGGGCCACCATATGTAACTCACTCAGGTTGAGATTGTTGGGTGGTGGGGGGAGAAATTCAGCAGAACTAGTTCATAGGATCCTTGGAAGAAGCTGAGAAGGCTAATTTGACATATTAAACAGGCAATCTTCTAATAGGCACTCCTGTCTAAAGCTAGGAGTCATGGGCTTTGATCCCAGGCACTTGCTGACCACACATAATTCTAAGTGTATGAACAAGTGTGGGAGAGCTTGCTCTGAAGAATTTGAACTTCTAGCCCCTTCCAAGTCGTCAGGCCCTGCAGTGGAGAAAGTTTGGAAAGTTCTGGCAATCCCTTCCTTAAGGTAAAACTAGGCAGGTGAATGAGAAGACATGCAACTAAAATTATTTCTGAGTGCTTGATATGCAAGGAACCAGGTTATCGATGCCCATTTCAATTCAGACATCAGCCCAAGGCACAATCTTGAACAGGGAGATAAGAGACATTCCAACCTCCAAAATTCCAGGAACCACTGACTTGGGGTATGAGAGAGAGTGAGTGAGTGTGTGTGTGTGTGTGTTTTAAAGACATCTGGTTCAGGAAAATCTACTTCCAGCACTCAGGGAACTGGCTGGCAGTCTCTGAACCCTTGGTGATGGCATCTGAAAGCTTGGGGGCAGAGCCAAACCAGAGCAAGCGGGGGAGTAGAAAGGACCATGAGAGCTGTAGCCTGCTTCAGGCAAGATGAGCTGTTGGTCCCTGAGAGAGATCTAAACTGGCCAGCCGGCCAGCGAATAAGGGCCAGTGGGGCTTATTCTGTCAACCACTGGAAAGTAGTGGGCAATAGGCACTGAATTCAGGGTCCAGGGCCCCCAAGGGGAGTGGGAGGCCTCCTCCGGGCACCTGGAGGCTGCTGGGCTGTCTGCCCTGGAGGGCCAGAGTGGTGCACGGCTGCCAGGGCTGCACGACCGTGTGCTCATGACGTGGAGCGCAATGCAGTGTCACAATGCTACCTCGAGGGATACTGTCCTGTCAGGACAGTGTTGGAATTAAGTAACGTCAGACAGCTACGGGCCGCCGCAGAGCCCATCCGAGGTCTGATTTGAGCAGCAGCGTCCTCCTGTTTGACGAGGGAGGGAGGGAGGGGGACGCCTTCCCCTTCCTCCTTGTCCAGCAGCTAATGCAGTTGTCCAGACCTGGTCACGGTCATCCGTGTTGCTTTCCCTCTGGTGGTCCTGTCCCTTGCCCCACCATGTGTGGTGCCCCCCCCCCTCCCCCGGCCTGCCTGTAGCTCAGCGATGCCCCCTCACACATAGCCCTGCCTCTTCTTCCCTCCTGCAGACTCACACCATCTTCTCTCTGCTGGGAGTAGACCACGCGTATGTCACCAGTATTGGCCGACTCATTGGCATTGTCACGCTGAAGGAGGTGAGCTAGCAGTGGCCCCCAAAGTCCCGATGCTTACTGGCCAGCTTACCCCACCTCCCAGCCCCGGGAGACGCCGAGCCCAGACGCCCACCCGGCCCTCTCACTCCTCCAGCTCCGGAAAGCCATCGAGGGCTCCGTCACAGCCCAGGGCGTCAAAGTCCGGCCTCCCCTGGCGAGCTTCCGCGACAGCACCACCAGCAGCAGTGACACAGAGACCACAGAGGTGCATGCACTGTGGGGGCCCCGTGCCCGTCATGGCCTCCCCCGGGAGGGCAGCCCTTCTGACAGCGATGACAAGTGCCAGTAAAGCCCTGAGGGCCAGGGCTGTAGCCCTCACTGTCCCTCTGCCCTGGGGACACCCGAGGCAGCTCAGGGCCACGTGCCTCTTCCGGTCCATCCTACCTGGAACCTGAACCATAGCCACCCCCCCAGAAACAGCAGACCAACATTGCCTGTAGGGCATGGGGGGGTGGCGACTTGACCCTGCTCACCCCCCTATGGGGGAAGAAGGGTAGAACCAAGATGGGTTTATACTGGAACCTCCAATGACCATATGTATATAGAGATTTATAAAGATTTTTATATTAATTTAATAAAACAAATTCTTAAATAGAACAAAATAAACACCTAATGAGCCACTTACATAGAGAGTGCCTATGCCGCTCGCCGGCCCTCCCCCTCTGATCCTGGGCCCTCTCACGTGCCAGCGCTCACAAGGCTCTACCCACAGCCAGAAAAATCCCCAGCACGGCTGGGGCAGGGGCTCCCACAGCCCCCTCCCTCCCCAAGGAGGGCCATTCCCTCATGGTTCCCACATTGGCACAAATCCTACCTGGGGCAGCCAGCGGCAGCGCCCGGAGCCCCCTTGTGGCCTTTGCTGGGAGGACAGTCCTGTAATCGTTGCGTAGCAGCAACCAGGGCCACCCCAACCCGGCTTCTGACTGCACCCACAAAGAGGGCTCCAGGGGAATGGGCGCGCCTGCCAGGATCCCGCCCACACGTCCTCTGACCCTCCAGCAGGGCCAGACAGGGCCCGGGAAAAGGCTACTTGCTTGAACCGTTCCAACGCCTCCCAGAGAGGCCCTGCCGCCTCAGGAAGAAAGGCGATTTAGAGCCTGTGGAGAGGTGAAGCACTGCACAAACCCAGCTGAGCAGGGGTGGGGACGAGCTCAGTCCGCAGGCTCTGGGAGGGCACAGGAGCCAGCCCCCACCCCGGGGTGAGGATGATTCTAACCAAGCACAGCACAGGGACTTGGAGGGAAGGTCAGAGCAGAGAAGAGGCGTGGGGAGGGGGGGGGGAGGCTCCCCCACTCCAGTGGGCCACACAACCCAGTCACAAAAATCCCCGCAGGAGTTCACGTCATCCAAGGAGGAAATGTGCGTGTGGAGGTTTTGATTTGAAAACATGAACATCACTGTCTGCCACAGCTGTAGCCATGCCCCAGGGGCCCCGGGCAACCCCCGGCAAGCCCCCGGAGTCGGGGCAGGACATGCACCCCCCAGCCTGGGCCCTGCCTCCTCTCCAAACACTTTCATGCAAAACACACAACGGAGGACTGAGTGCTCCCAGCAGCCCTTGGGCTGCAGAGCTCTGCTGGGAGCCTGTGCCCGCACTTGGGCATGGAGGCTCTGTCCCCAGCAGCAGCCAGGGGACGCATGCCACCACCAGGCAGGATCTGGGTCACTGTTCCTCAGGCTCTGCCTCCTCTTCTAAAGACACCACCCCAGAAGAGGCCACGTCAGAGGCTTGCCGCTGCTGTTCCCAGCTGCCCACTGGCATCGGGCAGAGCGGCTGGCAGTCTGCGTAGGGCGCCGGCGGCTCCTCCTCGGCAGGGGAAAGGCAGGGCTCCGTGAGCGGCGAGTCGTAGAGCGAGTCCTGGGCCTCCAGTGGGCCCAGGCTGCCGAAGGCACTTTCCCGGCTAGAGGGCAGTTTGGCAAGGAGCAGCTCCTCGCCCAGCAGCTGGGAGGCCAGCCGGGCAGGGGAGCCCAGCAACCCATCCTCCAGGCTGCAAAGACTGGAGCACAGGGTGTCTGGGGAAACGGTCTGTGAGCAGTCGCTCTCAGGCTCCACCGAGCCCTGGCGCATGGGCCGAGAGAAGCGCCGGCCACAGAAGAGGTCCTGGAGGTGGGGTCCCAGGGGCAGCTGCCCAGATATGTCTGATGGAGAGGAGAGGAGAGGAGAGGAGAGAGGGCAGTTCTGCTGGCCCTGCTCCTACCAGCGGCATGCCTCCAACCCCACTGCACCACCACCCCCGGCCCCAGCCTCTGCCCTCCCTCATGGCACTTGGGGTAGAGTGGGTAACCTCGGGCAAGTCTTTAAGCCTCTCGGGGCCTCAGTTGCTTTAGTGGTGAATTGGGCATTCGAACAGCACCTACTGTACGGGGTCGCTGGCAGCACACAATGTGGCACACAGTGAGCCAGCAATAAACGCAGGGCCACCGCACGCGGTTTCCCACGCTGCTCACTGCACAAGAAGACCCTCTGCGAGGCAGCCCCCCCACCCCCCGTCTGCTCACCAAGCACAGGGCCCCACTGCCCAGAGGAAAGGGGCCTTTTGCTAAGATGCGCACAGATCCTCCGTGGGCTCATACTGGTCTGAGATCAACGTGAGTGGGTGTTAGCCCAGGGGTCAAAGCAGGTCTGGAACTCAAAAACACAGGTGGTTTCAAGGCTCCGCTTGGCCCTGGACAGTGGCAGCAGCAGCA